AGTTTCAGTTTGGACGTAATGATAAGACACTGATCCAACCCTAAAGGAGCTACTGTTTTCTGGGAAAAAGCAAATAACAACAATAATGATAGCAGCTAGTTTTTATTAAATGCCTATGTGCCAGACACTCTTCTAAGTACCTTATATTTACATATTGATGCTTTTCATCCTTATAGTAATCTATAAAGTAGATTATCCCAATGATTATTTCATTGTCTGTTTCCCTGGTCACAGAAGTGTGTTCCTGCCTCTCTCAGAGCCCGTCTCTGTGCTATGGTAATGGATTTGTTTATGCATGTAATGGATAAGAGCTTGGGTGCTGGATTCAGACTGTCTGGCTTCAAATCCCAGCTCCACCAATTATGGGCAACATATTTGATCTTTCAGTGCCTCAATTTCTTCATCTGTGAAATGAGGATAATCATGGTTATTACCTCATAGGTTATTATAAAGAAAAAGGAAGATGTATACGGACTTTGAACAGTGTCTGGCACGTAAGCTGCTAATAAATGTTAGCTGCTATTACTGTTATTATTTGTCTCCTCTTCGAGGGCTGGGTCACTAACCTATTCATTGTTGTATCCACAACTCCCAACTCAGGGCCCAGCACAGGGTTGAAATCAGTAATTATCTGCTAAGTAAAAGAACAAACTTAGGAGTGTTCACATTTTTCAAGGTGGGGAAGGAAGTTATTTGGAGGGGATCCTTCAAGAGGAGGCATCAGATTCCCACAGAATATGATAGTAGTTGAATCCGGGCCCTTCTATAGCAGATAGAGTCCAAGAAACAGTGACTGTGAGAACCAGAAGGGACTTCACAGACCATGGTTTTTCAGGAGTTTGTGTAATTTGCATGTGGTCACGCAGCTCATTAGCATTGGAGGAAATTTGTTAGAGAATGTGGGCCTTTTATCTTAAGCTCAAATTCCACCGCATGGGCAAGTGGACAGAATTTTTTATTTTGGTTCTATATCACAAAGCTGTATTAAATGCTAAGTGCATTATGCTAAGCTCATGAAAGACAGAGGTGGGATGAACTCAGGGAGCATCCAGACTCGGGCAAGATAGACATTAAATAAGCAAATCAAGTGTGATGGAGAAGCCTGGGAGACAGAGCTCTTCTTGATGTTGAGAAACTGAAAAGCCAAGTGAGAACAATGGGAAGATAGTTCTTTAGATCAAACCTGTTGAGGTCATAGTTGGGTTATGACTCTGTGCCNTGAGAGCTCTTCTTGATGTTGAGAAACTGAAAAGCCAAGTGAGAACAATGGGAAGATAGTTCTTTAGATCAAACCTGTTGAGGTCATAGTTGGGTTATGACTCTGTGCCCTTGAGTTAAAGGAAACCCACTTCTCCTATGCAAAATGAAAACTATGCGGCGGAGCGGAGATTAATTTCCATTGGGGTGTTATAGGGCAGATGCANTCTTGAGTTAAAGGAAACCCACTTCTCCTATGCAAAATGAAAACTGCGGCGGAGCGGAGATTAATTTCCATTGGGGTGTTATAGGGCAGATGCAGTGGGATCCTGGAAAAAATGTCTTCACCTCCCCAGTGAAGGTGGTATCTCCCCACCAGCCTTACTCAGAAACCACCCCCCAACCCAGCCCAGCCCCTCTCCAAGGCTCTTGGAAGAGTAGGAGAGTAGGTAGTTATTGCTAAGTATACTTTTGCCCTGCTTAAGGCACAACTGTAAATTCGCATAACAATAGATCCACCAGTATGACTGGAAATGAGTAGCATAGCTGAGGGTGGGAAAAATCATAGCTCACCCCGGTGCCATTAATCGTCTACCTGGGAAAAGTTTAACATTAAGCATCCATTATTTATTAGAGAGACTGGGGATGTAGGGAGGAAGGGCAGTGTGTGGGTAGCAACCAGCATTGACAGGGAAATGTAAGAGGCAATGTCGTGTAGCAGGACACGCAAGGGACAGGGGCTGGGAGAGCCAGGTTCTGTCACTGCCACCTCTGGGTGACTTTGGCTAACTCACTTAACCAGCTCAGGCCTCAACCTCCTCAGCTATAAAATGGGCTTGAATTAAAAGGTCTCCTACAGTCCCTTCGGGCTCTGAAATTCAGTTCAGAATGTTCTCTGCATGTGAAGAAAATGTTTTTCATTTCTGTATTCACTACCCTAGAAGGTATCACTAAACCTTTAGCAAACACATATTTCCCTAAAGAACCCCAATGCAGAAGAGCTCCCAGCCCAGGGTTTGCAGGCATACCTCCAGGCATGAAATGTCTTTGAGTTTATTATCACAAAGGTAATTTTGCATTCTACTCCATAATCTATCCTTGCTTGTGTTAATATTAAAAACAGTATTCTAGCCAGGCTGGCGTGGCCCAGGGGTTGAATGTCAGCCTATGATCCAGAAGATCATGGTTCGATTCCCAGTCAGGGCACATGCCTGGGTTGCAGACTCGATCCCCAGTGGGGTTGTGCAGGAGGCAGTTGATCAATGACTCTCTCTCATCATTGATGTTTCTATATTTCTCTTTCCCTCTCCCTTTCTCTCCCTGAAATCAATAAAAATATATATTTTTAAAAACAGTATTCTAAATTACTCACTGTAGATATTCATTGACAAATCTAGATTTGAAGGTTGTCAGAAAACCTGGTCTCTTGATCTAGAATTATAGCCAAGCCCTAACCCTGGCTGATAACAGGAAATGTCTAATTTCTTGTTTGTTCTTTCTGTCTTTTTTATTTCTTCTTTCATAAGCATATATTAATTTAATACTAAAGAAAAGGAAACAAATTTTTAAAATATGAAAAATAACAAAATTCTAGCCTTCCATGTATAGATTTTAAGGAGGGCGGGACTTCCCTTTATGAATGAGTTCCCTGATGACATTTCATTGTGCTCATTTTCCTATATTAGAGTCCTTAACACATAGTCATTGCATGAGAAATATGTGCAGTTGAATGAATAAAAGTAATAATAAAGATGATTAGACTGATGACCAGCAGCTACTGTTTTTGTGTTTTTACCATGTGTTACTGTTCTAAAATCTTTATTTACGTGTATCATCTTGTTTAATCCCTATTAAACCCTTGCAGGCAGGTCTTATTATTATCTTCATTTTACAGACAAGGAAACTGAAACATCGAAAGTTAAGTAACTTTCCTGGTTTGAACGCCCCCTGCGCCCCGTCTTTTATCTCCTCGGCACACCTTTCACACCCGGCATTGCTGTGGCTCCTCCCTGCGCGGAGCAGCGGGGCTGGGGCCAGGAGCAGCCCCTTGTCTCTTGCTTCTGCACTGAGGCTTCTCGGCCACTGTCGCGTGGGACATCTGTGGGAGCCCATTCCACCCATCTGGCACCTGCACAGATCTCAGTGCAAGGACAGCCTCTGGGGCACCCCAACCATTAGCTATTTAGTAGCCATCTGGGTTATCAGATCAGTCATTAGAGAGAGAGAGGAAGAGGGAGAGAGAGACCACATTCATGTAAATTTTATTATAGTATATTGTTATAATTGGTCTGTTTTATTGTTGTTGTTAATCTATTACTGTGCCTAATTTATAAATTAAACATTATAGGTATGTGTGTATGTATGTATAGGAAAAAACATAATATTTACAGGGGTGGGCAAAAGTAGGTTTACAGCTGTTCATATGGAAAATAACACAGTAATTAATCAATAATAATACAAGAATAAACTCTGTGTTCTGCTTTCTCACAACTGTAAACCTACTTTTTCCCCACCCTGTATAGGGTCCCGTACTGTCTGTGGTTTCAGGAACCCACTGGGGTCTTGGGATGTATCCCTGGTGGATAAGGGGGCACTACTATACTTAAGTAATGGGTGGAGAGCAGGGTGGCAAACTGATCTATGCCAATTTATCCTTGCAGACATCTCAAGTTCTATTAGCCAGAAGTGGTAGCCACAGGCATACTTGAAATGGTCGTAGATTAAGTACTCTCCCACAGCCTCACCATTAGGTTATCACAAAAGCCAGTCTCAGACCAAAATCTGCCACAAATGACTTGTTAAATAAGCATTCATTAACAGCCCTGGCCAGGGAGCTCAGTTGGTTAGAGTGTCCTCCCAATACGCCAAGGTCGTGGGTTTGATCAGGGCACATAAAGAAGCAACCAATGACTGCATCAGTAAGTGGAACAGCAAATCGATGTTTCTCTCTCGCATGCCCTCTTTCTCTCTCTTCCTCCCCCCTCCTTCCCTTCTTCTCGCTCTAAAAGTATCGATCAATTTAAAAATTTTAATAAAATAAGCATTCATTAGCAGGCAAGCATGACAGTCCATGAAGCCTGCTCTGGAAGTTGATGAAGTCCCAGCTCTCTGCCCACTTAGATTCTGCAGCTACTCCCTAAATGAAAGGTTCACTGGAGGAGGGTGGGAGAACATTCTGTAGTGGGTCTCAAACTTTACCAGGCATCAGGATCTTTAGGTGGGTTTGTCAAGGCACAGATGCTATGTTCTGCCCCCAGAGCGTCTGATTCAGTGCACACCACACCTTGAGACCAGTGATCTAGAGGCAGGTTTTATTATTCTTTCTGAAATTACCATCAGGCATCCGGCAGTTTGCTAACCAATGGCTAGACCCCGGACAATGTAAAGAATTAGTCTAGAATCTAGAGTGCCAACCCTTAAAGCATAGACCACAGAACCCTCTAGACTCTTTTACCCAGAAGACGTAAGGACAGAGGATGTCTCTAAGAGGTTTTGGAGAATACCATTAATGTAGCAGTGAAAAGCCTTTCTCATGGTCATTATGCTAATAAACAAAGCCTGTGACACTGAGCTTTGGATAATTGAAGTGCACAGGGAGAGCTAAAGTGTGGCCTTGCTGATCCAGTGATAGCTAACCACCCCATCGTGTGAATTCCTGGACAGGGCACGTAGGCTATAACGCAAACGAGCACATATGTCTAATATTACCATTCCAGGCTGGACATTTTAGAGTACATTACAGGCAGCATTAATGGAAAGGAAAGTTAATTAACAAATCAACGGGCATTTGTTTGATCCCACAGACTGAGCCTGAAATCATAGAGGAAACCAACATTGACAGAGTCAACGAGCCCCGGGGCTATGCCAGGTCGAGGCAGGTGAAGGGCCACTCTGAGACCTCCACTCTGAGCTCCCAGCCCTCCATCGACGAGGTCAGGCAGCAGATGCACATGCTGCTGGAGGAGGCCTTCAGCCTGGCATCCGCGGGCCACGCAGGCCAAAGCCGGCACCAGGAGGCCTACGGCTCAACACAGCACCTGCCCTACTCGGAGGTGGTGACCAGCGCTCCGGGGACCATGACGCGGCCCAGGGCTGGGGTGCAGTGGGTGCCAACCTACCGCCCAGAAATGTACCAGTACAGTCTGCCCCGGCCGGTAAGTCAGCTCCCACCTACCTGCTATTATCAGATCAGTCCTGCCCAGGGTGTTTCAGTGGGTCTCAGGGGGGGGGAACTTCTAGTGATAAGTCACCTTGGGATTTGGAGACAGAATTTTGCTGGGCTCTCATCCTGTCCTCCACCCATGATCCAAGCCTAAACCTTTTAGTCCTATGGGTACAGGCACACAGGAAGCCCTTATGTCTGACTGTAATACATTTCAGGATGAATTTCCTTTCCTGTTATCCCTCCTGTGAAGGGCTGACATTCTTCATGCACAGGTGATTCCCTACATTTCCAAGTGTGAAGACCCATTTTAAATGTCAGACCCCATCGCAGAGCTGCCTGTTAGGGGTCTGTGTAGCCTGGTGGTTCAGAGCAGACGCTCTGGAGGTGGGTGGCTTGACTGAGTCCCAGCTCTACCATTCACTGGCTTTGTCACGTGGGGATGTTACTTAAATTCTCTACAGATGAAATTAGCAAATTAAAATAACCTACTTCCTAGGGTTATTATGAAGAGTAAATGAATTGATATATGTGAGATACTAGAAGAATGCAGGCACAGAGTGAATGCTGTAGAAGTATCAGTCATGTTTGTTTCATTTAGTGGTAACTGCATTTCAGTAGCTGAGAAAGCACCCAATGACAAAAGGCTTCCCTGATTTAAACAACAATTTTAATTAGTTTGCATTGTGTTCACTATCATAGTATCTACTTATATCTTCTTAAAAAGACAGACTTGGTTTTATAAGCCATAGACCATAACAGACAATGCTTTGTGCATGTATAGATTCTACCCTGGTAATATTTCATGGCCTATCCCCAAGGATTACTCATTAATAGAGTTTTATAAATTGTCATAGTGATATGTAATTGCAAAATGAAAGCTAGTATTTATTGAGTGTTTCATAGTTGCTAGGTTACTGATCTAGGTGTCACATGTATGTTAACTCATTTATTTAGGTCTTACTACAAGCCTCTGACACAGGTACTAGTTTTATCCCTATTTTACAGATGAGGAAACTGAGGTTGCATAGCTTGTTCAAGTCACACAGCCAGAAATGGGCAGAGCCGTGGCCCAAGGCCAGGCAGTCTGGCTCCAGAACCCACATTCGTAGCCAGCATGCTTTTCTGCCTGGTGTTGTGTTACATTGCCACCCATATTATTTCTTTCGTTTGCTGTAGACAATTTGGGACACGTATGGGCTTGTGGAGCCCTGTGATAACACCGAACCACCTCACACCTGCCCAAAGTCCACACTCAATTGGCACTGAATAAATTGCTGTTATGCTATGAAACTACATAGTCTGCACACTATTGTGAATTTCCTGATTGTTCTCCTTTGCTCTGGGTCCCCCTCCTCGCCCCTAGATCACTGAGATGTCCCCCTTAACTCTGCTCCTAGTCCCCCCTCTCTCTGTCTGTCTGTGCCCTCTTTTAGAATGTCATTCTCTAGCCCAACCTTTCCCTGTTGGTTAAGCGTTAGCAGGAGAGACCAAAGTTTATTTGAAACTGAACCTCTGGGGCAAGGGTGGCCGTGCCTCTCTGAGGTCATCACCATGCAGGTACTTGTCCTTAGGTCAGCAGATACAGAATTTCTGTTTTGTCCATTCGATCCAGGGGACTCTGACTCATGCTGATTAAGCTCAGAGCAACTGCTTTATTACTAAGAATGCTGACTCACAAACCTGCAGTGAGAAGCTGGATGGCCAGCTGAGCTGGAATACTGGTTTGCTAGTCAACAGGGTCTTTCATTAGTAAAAGCCAATTTGGGAAAAGTGAGAGATTATCAGAAGAACTGGTAGGTCTTGAAGTCATCTTTCTTAGTCTGCAACATGCGAATCTGAGAGTATAGTCAATAAAGGAAACAGGATGAACACGGGCATCTTTTTTGAATCCCACTTTCTGAGATTGGGTGGCATAATGCAAAATTCTTAATATAATTTTTAAGCTAAAACAGAAGGCTTTAGGGCAATGCCCAGATCTCAGGAATATGACTTCGCCTCTGCTGTCAGGGAATTTTGCTGGATACGATCGAGAAGCACCTCCTGTTGGAAGGGCGTCAGCAACTCTGGGGCCACCACTGGCCCCGCTGCCATCAGTCTAGAGACCAAATCAGAAAAAGTTTTCACTGAACCTTACAAATTTATCACCTTAGTATACTTTCCCATGATAGTCATATTACAGTTTTCTACTAATTGTGTGTTAAATTAGTACCCACTTTTGTGGGGGAGGAAGGGATTTTTCCCACTGAGATTTAGAAAACACTCTAATCTTATCACACACAGGGTGGGGCAAAAGTAGGTTTATGGTTGTAAGTACTCAAAACAGTTTATTCTTGTATTATTATTTATTAATTATTATATTTTTTCTATATGAACTGTAAACCTACCTTTGCCCCACCCTGTGTATACTGCCTCTTAAGTGTCTATCCTCTGGGGAAAGTTGCCTGTGATTCGCACTGACTTCTATTTCTTTGGTGCATCCTTCCTGAGCTCCACGCGTTGACCTTGTCCCAGGATTTTCCTCTAGCCCAGAGTAGAACGACACTCTCCAGCTGAATGACCTTAGCTGGTGACCACAACTCTGAGCCTCAGACCCCTCAGTCATACAGTGGTGACAATGAAATCTGTGTAAAATGCTTAGCTCAGTCCTGGCACCGAGTCAGCATCCAATACTTGTTCACTGATATTGATTAAAGCACTTTGTATGGTGCCTAGCACATCAAATTACTTGATAAATGGTAGTCATTAATATGAAAATATTCTCTTCTTTTCATTGGGTTCCACTAGTTATATCTCTTTCCCCCAACAGTTCTGAGATGAAATCTCCTCCTGTTCTGTGAAATTCTTTTGGAGCATGCTCTGGGTGCCCAACTCAAAGTTCCAGAAAAACTTCCCTTGTGTTTAAAGATGATTCTCAAGAACAACTGGACCCCTCTGGCTGGAGGCCGGATTCTGGGCATCTGAAGAGATCTGGGTTTCAGAGAGACACACTTAAACAACAGGATGAGTCTTAAAACCAGTGACAGGCAAGAAGATGCCACAAGCCATATCCCTTATGCTCAATTTAACAAGATTATCTAAAAATCTCACTGTGGGACATATGAAAACTTAGATGGTTGCATTTGTCATGATAAGGGCTTGGTGGTTGTGCTGAGAAGGGCAAAAACATCAGCATGATATACTTTAGAAGTGAGGCCACCAAGAAAATGGAAAAGGCTTGAGAAGTAACAACAGAGAGGGGCCATCCAACCAGAACGGTATCAAAGGCAGTTCTTTTGTTATTAAGGTTTTCGTTTTTTGCTAACAGCTCATGTGGCCCCTATTTTCATGAAAGGAGAAAATAGCTAACAATACACAGCAGAAATGATGGTTCTTAACCCAAGTTCTTGTCGAGCCCCCTTGTGCTATGATAATGAGGAAATCAATAGAAAAGGCGGCAATTCAGAATGATAACTATGATTACTTTTCGGCTTCCCAAAAGGAAGCTCTTTGAGCTCTGGCGGAGGATAATTGGAGGCTGGCGGTTTTAAATGCACTGGCCACGCTGATGGCATTTATATCATGGGAAAGGTTGCTGCTGGCAGCTTTGGATTTCTGCACTGCGTTTTAGGAGACTCTCGATCTTATTTTGCCCCTTAAAGCTGTGAAGAAATTGGACTTGACACCTAGTGATCAATCAGATTTTGGTAGCAGCACTAATGGGTCTGTGCCAAGTGGAGGGAAAACATCCTACCCCCTTCCTGTTGGTGTCAGAGAAGGGGATTCCAAGAAAGGCAGCAGGTCAAGACATCTCCCTCTGCAATTACTAGAGGCTTTGCAGATGGAACCAACAGTAATCATAATAACAGTAACAGCAGCAGTTGCCATCTGTTGAGCTCCCTGTGTACCTGACACTAAGCTAAAGTGCTGCGTTGACATTATCTCACCATCTGGCACCCACCCTATGAGGTTCATATTATCCCTGTGTACTCAGTGAGGAAACTGAGGCTTGAAGAAGACACTTGCCCAGGGTTACACAGCTGTAAAGGAAAGAACTGGGGTTAGAACCTCAAGCTGTCTTACTTCAAAGCCCACACTCTTTCCACCCCACTGGCTAAGCTGGGCCAGAGGGATGTCCTCAGGCTCTGATGAGAACTCGAATCTCCAAAACTTCAGTGTGATCCTCTCTTAAAGAAGCTTACCCAGTTTGAGGGGATTTTGTCCATTCCTTTCATTGCCCCTGGTAAGGAAGACATGTCTATAAGGATGAACTTGAGAATTTTCCATTCTTTTTTCCCCTTTTACCCTCAAAAACAAAACAAATTAAAAGACCCCCTCCCCAAACCTTTGCTAATGATGAGATATGCAGACATATCATGTATGAGTTTGCATCCACCACACTTGAGTTCAAGAAATGTTACATTTCTTGTGTTTCTCCAAATCAAATTTGAGTCTGTTCTGAATTCCCATCTGTCCAGGTAGGTGGGAAATTCAGTGTCACCTGTTACTGAGCTCCCTTCACCTCTGGTTACACCAAAGTCATTGGTGATTTGATAAAGTTGGATCACTGGGAGAGGGCATTGTCCAACTCTGAGGAGTCACTGAAGGTGGGTCACTGTGTCATACCGGGCCAGCCTGAGCATGGGATCTTTGCCTTTGGACTCCCCTGAGAAATTCCTTTTGAAAACCAGCTCAGCACTCAATATCTGGCAATTGCATGCCCTCTAAGTTTAGAAACATCATTCAAGAGAGTAGAAACCTTGGTTTATACAGGAAGGCTGCATGGGAAGAGACAGGGAGATAGGAGAGAAAATCTGGAGAATACTTATTGCAGCCACAAACTCAAGTGTATAAGACACTTAACTTTAGGTATATTTATGTCATCTCCACATGCCACAGCTTGCTCTCAGTCAGTTCAGAGTCTCCATATCCATGGGTTTTGCCTATTGGAGGGATCTACTTGGTGCAAAGCATGATGAGGGGGTATCTGGTCCCAGTTTGTCATCTCATTACTCTGGCTGGTGTCCCTGAGAAGTCCTTGTATCCACTAGTCTCCAGGTGTCAGTCCAGGTAAAGCGCAGCTCAGTCCTGGTCCTCGTGCTAATAAGCTCTCTCCAGGCCTCTCCCTCTCTTCCTCCAGCACTCATGTGTTCGCTTCCCCTCTCTCTCTCCCTGTCTTCCTCCCTCCTTCGCACTGGGGGGGGCGGGGGGGAGGATTCTGGGAATTCTGTGCTACTGCTGGTTCCTGGGCTTTCCTAAAAGTGGGTACAGGTCCCTTGTCTTTCAGATTCCCCAAATTGTTATGGTATTTATGTCTCCTCCCCCTCCCCAGCCCCTCCTTCCAGAGCCCCTTCTCCAGGCCCATCAGCATCTAAGCTCTCTTGCTCCCTTCTCACTCTCCTCTCATTCCTATCTGAAGGGTGTTTGCCTAATCTAGGTCTCTGAACTCCTTCCTAGGAGAGGGCAGAGATCCCAAAAGACAGTGTCCTTGGTCACCAAATGGGGCATCTCACAGTCACCTTCACGGAACTGGCAACTTGGAACCAGGCAACAGTTTTGAGCAATAGCTTCCAATGGGATCCCAGTCACAAAGCAGCCAGCAGGGAGCCAGGTTCCAAACACATGAGGAGGGAAGCCAGCATTAGAAGCCAGGAGGGCTTTGAACCATGGGGAACCTGCATAGCGGGGATGTAGGAGACACTCTGTAGGGCACAGGACACAGGTTGACTCTCTACTTTTATGTGGCCCCTGGGGCCCTGAGGATATAGCCCAAAGGGGACTCTGATCTCCTCTGCAGCCTTGCTGTGTACCTGGAAAGCTCTTTCAAAGAAGGGAATCCTCTTGGTACTTGTTAAAAGTTCAGAACTTTTAATCAGTTATTTTGATGAACTGGTACAGGACAGCCACCAGCATAGAAAGCTTTTTCTTGGCTGGAAACTGTATTGACTAGAAAATAAGCCTTCCAAGAACCAGGGACAAAAATAGGTTTTCTGTCTCTTCTACCGATTGTGAGAGGCCAGAAGAGAGAAGAGGGACTATAAACCCCTTTCTCTGTTTTGGGAAAGGCGTGTCCTTCCTTGTTGGTATATTAATAGTAATGGAATGCAAAGCTGGATGGAAGTCCAGGACAATGATTCTCAAATTCTCGGCAACTCCTTAGGGTTCAGGGAAGTCCCCAGGCTGTCATCGTGTAGCTAAGTGAAGGGCCAAATTCACCAGGGTGCCTCCACCCACACACACACACCTCAGCAAATTAAAATAGAACTGTGAGCTAAAAGCAGAGCTGGAAATAGTGAGTAGTAAGCAAATATGAAAGGTGGAGTGGAGTCCTTGAGATTTCCCTTACATCTTGCAATTCCCTGTGCTTAAAAAGAATGTTTTATCCAAGATCGAGTTGTTATTTAGTGGGTTGGCCTTTACGAGTCTGTAGTCCTAATACTGAAGGCAGAAGACTCATTCAGTTTAAAGAAGTTTAAAGAATCCTATTTACAAATTCCCCCTACTGCTGCTGCTTGTCCTGATGCCTTCAGCTTTAGTCTCGTGCCTCGGGAGACCTGGCAGGCCATACCTAAAGAAAAAGACCAAGAACCGCAAGTTAAGCTTTGTCTCCCCAAAGGGCATTTCTAGCTTTTCTCTTGCTGGGAAGGCTGTGGCCTGGTTCTCTGATCCTATCAGTGACCGTCATCTTCTTATCCCCTCAAGTGTTGAATAAAGTCTTCACTTTCTTGACAGTTCCAATCCTTTATCTTTAAACAGTGCTTTGTAGATTGCAAAATGCGTACACATACCTCACTTGCCTGATCTTTGCAGTACCCCTCTGAGCAAGGCATCTTTGTTCCATTTCAGAAGAGGACACTGAGGCCCAGAGAGGTCCCCTGTCTTGCTTAGGGACATAAAGTCTATTCACCAGCAAACCAGGCCCTCCACCCATACCTCCTGATCACAAACCCATTGCTTTCCCCATTAAACTTTATTTCCACAAGTGAGAAAGTAAAACGCAATCAGTGGTTCATTCATTTAATATTTATTGATCTTTTTTTATATACCAGACATTGTTCCGGGCGCGGTGATCTAGCTGGCAACAAAGTCCCTGCCCTCTTACAGTCTAGATGGTGGCAGATAATAAATACACAAGCAACATTAAAAGCACACCAGGGAGAAGGAGCAGCATGTACAAAAGCCCAGACGGGAAAGAACTTGGCATATTCAATTGCCAAGAACACCTTGGCAAAGAACAATTGAAAGACTCCGTGACCACAGTGGCCTGAGCGGAGGGGACAGTGATAGGAAATGATATAGAAGAGGGAGCTGGGGAACATGTTAAGGAAGACCTAAGGGGGAAGTTTGGAGAAGGAAGGAAGGAAAGCCTGCCCCTCGGAAATTTACTTCCCTTTAAAAGAACCGCCTGTGTGTTGATCAACCCTGGGCTTTAACAGATCTCCCTCTTTTTGCTCTTTCACAGGCCTATAGGTTTTCCCAGCTTCCTGAGATGGTCATGGGCTCTCCCCCTCCGCCTGTACCTCCCCGGACTGGCCCTGTGGCCGTTGCTTCTCTCAGGCGGTAACACTTTCCTGTCTTTGCTTTGTTCAGAATATTTGGAAAGGATTTGGTCCTGAGTACCTTGACCTCACAGACTCCCTTCATGCCATGCCCCATTCCTGTGCATCGCCTGTACAACCGTGTACCTGGGGCACTCCAGTACCATGAAGGGAGTGGGGGCCATAGAGGGCTAACTCACTTTCTTGTTATCGTAAATAGACAGTCCTGTAGAATCCACAACTGAGGAACCAGAGTCAACTGCCCCATTCCCTGAAAGCCCCATCTTTGATCTTGAACGTCTGAAAATTACTCCACCATACAGCCACCTCCAGTACGGGCGCCTCCTGCCGTGTGTGCTCAGCCAGAAGAACCTCTGTTATTGGGGGTGGTGTCTGGGAGGCCAGGGAGCAGGGTATCTCAGCACCCCCCCAACTCGTGACTTCCCAGAGGGAGAGGCAGGAAGCAAATGAACTCAGATATGTACTCTGTGAAGCATGTTCCAGCATTCTGTTTGCTCTGTGGTATAAAAGGCACATGTTTTTAATAACGATAGACAAGAAACACAAGTGAGCACTGGGAGAGGTCGAAATAATCATCATGGCCAGGGCTGGGAGAAACGCCTGGTCCCAGGGGTATGTATGGGCCACTGCCCTGGCCTTCCTACCCTGGCCTCCCCCAAACACACTGGCCACGCCCTATCTGTGGCCCACAGGTTTGAATTTTTTGAAAATGTTGAAGAAAAATGGCTTTCCCTCAGAAACAGCCCTGCCCTCATTCCCAGAAGTTTAGAATCCCCAGTGGTGTAGACCCCACCCCTTGGAACCAGCTGAGCTCGGGTGGGGTGAGGAGCAGAAGACCAGGCTTCCATCTACTTGCCAATAACCTGCTGTGTAACTCCAGGCAAGTTGCTTCACCCATCTGGTTCCTGGTTGCTTATCTGTAAAGTGAGGGCAATACCCTAAATGATCTCAGAGGCTCTGGAATTCCTCCAAGGGGACCAAGTATACGGTGCATCCTCCAGGGAAGGGTTTTCTGAAGGAGTAGTAGATGCCGGGAACAGTATGAGGGAAGCCAGGGCTGTGGGGATGAGCAGGCCAGAGGAGGAGGGAGGGATTGAGAAAGAAAGGGAGGCCCACCCCTACCTGCAGAGCCTCCAGCTCCACCCTCCCTGGGGAGTAGTACAGGGCTTTTCAGTTCCCCGGGGGGTTCTGGCTGGGAGGAGTGTCACATTTGTGGTAGGTTTGCCCAAGGCCAGCATCTATTTCATTTCTTCTCTCAACCACTAGCCTCCTCCCATATCCTTCCTCACAGTCTGCCTTCCTTGCTAAATATCTGGTCACCACCCTCTCTACAAACCCAGAGATAGAAGAGGGAGCTGGAGAACATGTTAAGGAAGATCTACGGTTTAGACTCTGCTTAGAGGGCGGCCCCGTGGCCTGGCAGCCTGCCACCTGCTGTGGCCGCCTTTGCCTCCCTGCCATCTTAATTTTAGGGCAGCCTGGGGTCTCTCCGTGACAGGGGAGACAGTCTGTGGCTGAAGCACTCTTTAGAATAATGGGAGAGGCCCGCTGAGCCCAGGCTCCCTCTTCTTCAGCGGCTGTCTGAGCACTAGGTGGAAACATGATGTGTTAAACGGGCCAGTGTTTGCCTGGGACCAAAAAAAAAAACCTGTTCTCATTCATAATGCCCAGGAAGTGCTAAAGTGCTGGGCTCCTGCACCGAGCCGTGGGCATCTTGCTTCCCGCCAGTAACCAGTCCTCCAGCCCCCCGCCCCCCCCCAGTCACCCTGGTCTCAGGAGGGGGAGCTCCCCGCGCACTCCAGACGGAGCCTTCTCATTGGCTGTCGATGATGTCATCACCTCCCACGTCGATCATCCCCAGCTAATACCCAGCGCTAATTGCTCGGCTTAATTTTATGTGGAAATTAAGTATTGCACTCCCCAGAGACACAAGAGCCACNCGTCATCACCTCCCACGTCGATCATCCCCAGCTAATACCCGGCGCTAATTGCTCTGCTTAATTTTATGTGGAAATTAAGTATTGTACTCCCCAGAGACACAAGAGCCACCCTCAGGGGGCTACTGACCCTGAATATCGAAAAATGGCTCCAGCTTGGGCCCCGACGGGGCTGTTAGGGGTCCGGGCGTGTTGGCCCCCTTTGTTGTTTGGGGGCAGATCCTCACGGGGCTGGCAGGCCACTGCGGCTCCCCAGGGTGACGGCTGACGGCTGACGTGGGCCCTCTGCCCGCCCAGGTCCACCTCGGACGTCGGCAGCAAGACGCGGATGGCGGAGTCCGCGGGGCCCGAGACGGCGCATCTGCACGACGCCGCCTTCGCGCAGGTGTCCCGAGGCCCCGTGTCCGTGGCGCAGCTGGATCAGTCGGCGCTGAACTACTCAGGTGGGCGCGGGGGGAACGCGCGCCCCCTCGATCCTGCCCCCACCTTCTACCTGCCTCCCCCTGGAATGCGAGCGACTGCTTTTATTTCTCAAAAAGATCTGAAATCTGACAAAATATTAAGATATGTTACAGTCAAGGCATATGTTTTGCCAGATTTCGGGTTTTTAAAACATATTTTTTTAAAGCATTACAGATACAACTGTCCACCCCATCTCATTTCCCTTGTCTGCAGAGGTAACCACAGCCCCTAAGTCCTGGGTGCTAACCTTGTGCTACATCTGTATGTACAAACAACAGTGTATATCAGCCATCTTCAAGCTTTGTCATCTCATTGCACACATACACTAATTACTAAAATTCTGTGGCACACACACACAAAATTTTTGCCAATCCGACAAAAAAATAGGTATAATTTTGATTCATTTACACCCAATGGCTATTGTGTTGGCTGTTACCGTTTTTTTTGACAGTCTAAGAGAAAAGAGGTCAGTGCTCCTGAGTAAATAATCAGGTGCTGCATGTTTTAAAAATTCTTGCAGCAAAAAAAATTAAAAATAGCCTGGCCGGGTGTGGCTCAGCGGTTGAGCATCGACCTAGGATCCAGGCGATCAGGGTTCGATTCCCAGTCAGGGCACATGCCCGAGTTGCGGGCTACAGCCGATCAGTGACTCTCTCATCATTGATGTTTCTATTCCTCTCTCTTCCTCTCTCTGAAATCAATAAAGATATATTTAAAAAAATAAAAATAAATAAATAAATAAATTAAAAAT